TGTTTTCTTTATTTAAAATTAAAAATACTCAACAATTATTAGTAACATCGAGTAATATAAGAAGAAAAAAACTTATTATTGGATTAACCTAGAAAATGTAAAACAATGCGTTGGAATGTTCCTTTGTAAATCGGGTAAGTAGAGTATTATTTCAAGTTTTTTAGATATGAAGAAGTAAATTTACAGTAAATATAAGTCAAAATAACATAAACGTTACAATTGTTTTAAACTAGTCACAAAACAAATATATAAATTAATTTTTATTTACAGATAAAAAACACACGTTTTTAGAAATAAAAAAGAACTTAGATACTAATTCACCAAAAATTATAATAGAACAGAGTAACAAATCGTCACTTCAGTGTGCAAATAATAAAACTACGTGTAATAAAAATAAAGTTGTGTCCGATTAAAGTTAAAAAATAACTGAGTCAGAAATAAAAAATAATCTTGACATTAATATTAAAAAATCACTACACGATCAATTAGGCAAGTGACATAGTAATTATTTACTGAATATACATGTATTATTAAAGAGAAAGTTTAAATGCTTTCCAGCAATGTAAAAGCGACACTATGTGACACAAAGTATATAAGTGCTTTTATTTTTTTATTTATTTATTTATTGAGTAAATTTATTAAAGTCGGAAAAGACAAGTTAACCCATGATCAAAATAAAGATGTATATCAAATTAATTGTAATAAATGTAATGTATCTTATGTTGGACAAACAAAGCGCAAGTTAAAAACAAGAATTAGTGAACATAGAAATCAGATTAATAGAAATTCAGCTGTTGTTTCTGTGGTCACGGANCATCGTTTAGAGACTGGTCATGACTTTAATTGGAATGATGTTAAAATCTTAGATACTGAGAAATTTTTTTATAAAAGATTAGTTTCTGAAATGCTCCACATTAAATTGCAGGACAATTCGTTAAATGTTATGTCGGACACTGACAGTTTGAAACCTTATTTCTCTTTTCTAGAATTGTATAAATCAAATGTTTAGACTTTTACTTTTATAAACATGTTTTTCGACCTATTGTGAACTTTTGATCTTTTGATCATATAGTGGGGATATCTTTATATATTTGCTTGTTGTTATGTTTTCTTGTCAGTACACATTACTTGAATTTCATCGTCTTACTCGATTTACATCATTCGATTATATTGTAGTGATGTTGTGAATTAGTATGGTGTTTTAATTGAGTGAGTGTTATTAAATTGTTATTTTTTAATTGTATTACAATGTATTTTTTGCGCTAATTCTTTATTATTTTCATTAGATGTAATCTATATTACACTGAAGAAGGTCCAAACTTGTGGACCGAAACGTTTGTGTTTTTTGAATAAAGACGTCTATTTATACACGATCATCCTGTATTTTACTGCTCGTATCGGCCTTTTAATTAAGTTAAACTTTTTACGAGCGATTGATTGATTAATATAGTAAGCTCATATTTAGATTTGGATATAAAATCTGATTTTTACTACAATGATAAACAGACTAATGTTATAACTAATGAAACTTTGAACAGTTGTGTATTAGATACTGAATTAGAAACTTAATCGATTTTAATTTAAATAATTAAAAATTTGTAAATTTGTTGTCTGAATTAAATATCATAAATTGAATGTTCATAGGTCGTAGTTATTTCGTGTCAAGTGTTAAACCAGATTTTGGTGCCAGCGCAAAAAAATTTTTTACCCGTTTTTTGAAATATTGAAAATACAAATTAGTTCAGTCTGTTTCCAAAAGATGGCTCTGGCTGTTGTAAATGGTTCATAGTGACAGCTGATTTTGGCGGTTTCAGAGAGGTTAGACATCTGCTAATAATATTCAGTTTATATCGCTTTAAGTTTTATACAAAAACCTTGATTTTTACTGTGTATGAAATGTCAAATTTTGTGTTAACCAAGCAGTATTTGCGGGAAGTTTTAATTTTCTGCTTTAATTGGAAGAAAAGTGCAGCTGAAGTCCATCGAATGCTTGTCAAAGTTTATGGTAACACTACTCCAACTGATAAATCATATAGGGAATGGTTTTGACCTTTCAAGGATGGATATTTCAGCGTTGAAGACAAGCCTCGCTCTGGACAACCAAAAAATTTGAAGACAAAGACTTGGAAGCATTACTCGAAGAAGATCAGAGTCAAACGCAAGAGAAGCTTGCAGAATCATTGGGAGTAACTCAACAAGCCCTTTCTGTACGATTGAGAGCCATGGGCAATGATTCAAAACCAAGGAAATTAGGTGCCTTATGAACTGAAACCGAGAGACGTTGAAAGACGATTTTTCACTTGCAAGTTGCTGATTCAAAGGCAACAAAGAAAAGGTTTTTTGCATTGGATTGTGACTGAAGATGAGAAGTGGATATTCTACGACAACCCCAAGAAGAAAAAATACTACGCTAAGCCCGGTCAATCGTTGCCATTGACCTCAACATTAACACCAAAGCCGAACATTCATGGTTCGAAGATCGTGCTCTGTATCTGGTGGGACCAAAAAGGTGTTATTTACTATGAGCTGCTGAAACCTGGCAATTTCATTACAGGCATTCTTTATTGGCTACAATTAATTTGTTTGAGCCGTGCATTGCAAGAAATACGACCAAAATACGAGCACAGACATAATAAAGTTATTCTTCTTCATGACAACGCTCGGCTTCATGTTGCAAAATTCATTTAAAAAATTTGGGAACGCTTAAATGAGATGTTTTACCGCACTCGCCGTATTCTCCGGATATTGCTCCTTCTGATTACTGGTTGTTTCAGAAGATGCAGCACAATTTGGCACGTCACCGGTTTAATTCTTTTGTAGAAATCGAAAATTGACTCCAAACCTAGATCGCTTCCAAAGACGAGTCATTTTTTCAAGTGGGAATTCGAAAATTGCCTGAAAGATGGGAAAAAGTAGTAGCCAGCGATAGACAATACTTTATTTAATCTGTTCATTCATTTTGTTTTGGAATAAATGCATTTTTGAACACAAAAAACTGGACCGAACTAATTTGTACTCTCAATAATTTTAAGCATAAATTTATTATACAATAAAAGCTTATAGTTTGTGGTTATTTTGTGCCAAGATTTTAAGCAGTTTATTAAAGTTACATCGGAGGTGTTGCCGGCGCAAAATCACTACGCCGCGAGGAACATTATCGAAGCGATCGGTACTATCTGAGGTGTTGCCGGCGCAAATAACGCGAACCATTACTCGTGCTTCTTGATTCTCTTTTTCGTTCTTTAATTCACGCTTCCTGTTATTCTTTCTTTTTTCTTCTTTTATCGCGCTCGTTAGGTATGCCATCTGCTGGAACTTATACAAACATGCACACGACAATGATGATGAAAATGAATTTCATTAAAATAAAACGTGAATTTCTCAATTCAAAACATTTATCATTGCATATCTCCGATCAAAAGGCACAAACAAAAAAACCGTAACAATACTTTTTTTGAAATGTTTTATTCTGAATCGATTAAGACAAAAACAAAATTGATCGGTTTAGTCGTTATTTAAATATTGCCTTGAGAAAATCTCACTTCTCAATTGTGTAAATTTTGCGCATAAGAGGCACAGTGTGCTCGCGCAGTTCGAGCGCCACGTCGTTGTGCGTGAACTTGGCGCGAAGCACTACCGTGCCTCTTGATTGTTTGCTAATATTACTTTTCCATTTTCTGGTGAATATAACTGAAAATGAATGATAAGTATTTTTTTGTTACTGTTAATTCTCTTTTAAATATTATTCTATTCCCTTTACAAGGTTTACATAAATCGTTATATGATTCACACCAATGAGAAAGGAAAAGATTTAATAAATTGTTTCCATCATAACTCCTTTTTTCTACTTTAATATATGATTTGCTAACTGTATTTGTATACTTACAATTTTTACATCGTGTAGTGGAAGTTACTTGATGCTCGACAACATTTTTTATAAAATCTAATTTTCCGCAAAGAGCTGAAAGAAATTCACAAGCATCACGTTTACATTATTTTACTACTTCCTTAAGTTTTATGATAGTTCTTTTCTTAAAATGATTATTCGTGTTGCGTTCTCTTTCTCTTTCACTCTCCCACTTTCTCTCACACTCTTTCTCACTCTCTTTTACTTTCTCTTTCTATAGAGTAGAGAAGACGTGTCAAATCATACATTGCTCCGTGAACTTAATAAGTTTTTTAACAAACAAAATCAAGAAGAATAATGAAAAGTGTTTTAACTCAGAGATTTAGAACCAAAGTAGCAATGAGTATCTAGCCAAGATGCCAATTTGTGATTGTGAGAAGTGCATTTCTGGTTTGAGACATCAAATTCTCAGAAAACAGATAAACATTAAACGTAGCCACAAGAGCGCTGAAGTGTGAAAAGTGGATCACAGATAAATAATCGCTTACGCTAGTATAACGATTCCGGCCGGTAATTATCGGCATAGACAATGAATATGCAGAATACCGATGCTCTTCATGTAAGAAAACAATAAAAAGCAAAGTTGTTAATTGTCAATCTTGCATAAAGCTTTGTTATCATCCAGGATGTGTATTTAAGCATAAAAATTATGACAATAATCGAGAACTTGTGCCGTGTATTGATCCATTTAAAGAGTTTTTATTGATAGTAATCAAGAAGTGAATATGAAAAAAGCACCGACGACGGCAGGAAGCAGTAAGGATAGAACAAGGTCTACGAGATCTATTGGATCTGCAAGATATTAGGTTGTTCGGAAAGTAATTTCGTTTTTTTCTACGAGTGTCGTTAGTTGTATTTTTAATCAGCCAACTTCATTCTAAACCATATTATCATTGTATATTGTGACAGCTAACAGTTTAAGGGTTATCTTAAAAAACTTTTGTTTGATTCTGTGCAGTTGTTTTTTTTTAGTGTTATATGAAACATGGAAAATAAAAAGGACCATTTTCGGCATATTTTGCTTTTTTATTACCGAAAAGGTAAGAATGCTGTTCAAGCAAGAAAAAAGTTATGTGAAGTGTATGGAGAAGATATGTTAACAGAACGCCAGTGCCAAAACTGGTTTGCAAAATTTCGTTCTGGCAATTTTGATATTAAAGATACACCACGTTCTGGAAGACCAGTTAAAGCTGATGAAGACAAAATAAAGGCATTGGTTGAAGCAAACCGTCGAATAACAACACGAGAACTTGCTACAATATTGAATTTGTCGAATTCGACCGTTCATGACCATATGAAACGACTTGGTTTGATTTCAAAGCTTGATATGTGGGTGCCACATGCTCTCAAAGAAAGAGATTTACTCCGTCGCATTGACATCTGTGATTCGCTGCTCAAACGTGAAGAAAACGATCCATTTCTGAAGCGAATCATAACTGGCGATGAAAAATGGATTGTCTACAATAATGTTAAACGCAAGCGATCATGGAGCAGAAGAGATGAGCCGGCTCAAATTACAGCAAAAGCCGATATTCATCAAAAAAAAGTGATGCTCTCTGTTTGGTGNGATTTCAAAGGAATTGTTTTCTTTGAGTTTCTACCAGACAATTCTACAATTAATTCGGAAGTGTACTGCAATCAATTGGATAAATTGAATGATTCCATTAAACAGAAGAGACCAGAATTAATTAACAGAAAAGGCGTAGTCTTTCACCATGATAACGCCAGACCTCATACAAGTTTGATGACTCGCCAGAAGCTGTTACAGCTTGGATGGGATGTGCTACCGCACCNACCATATTCACCAGATTTGGCACCTTCTGATTATTATTTGTTCCGATCTTTACAAAACTTTTTAAACGGCAAAACATTTAGTTCGAATGAAGATGTAAAAAATCACTTGGATCAGTTTTTTGCAAGCAAAAATCAGAAGTTTTACGAGCGTGGAATTATGGTACTACCAGAAAGATGGCAAAATGTATTGGATCAAAATGGTCAATATATAATTACATAAAATAATTATACACTATTTAAAATTTGTCGTTTATTTTCCTGGAAAAAAACGAAATTACTTTCCGAACGACCCAATAGTTTTCAGCAATGAGTAGTAGAAATAAATCTTCAGGAGCGAGTGGATCAACTAGTATTGATATAAAAATAAATTTTCTTATCAAAACTGTAAAAGAAATAAAAAATAAAACAGCCTGTAAGGAAAAAGTTAAAATAATGATTAAAGAAGTAGTTCGTGAAGAAATGGGAAACGTTAAACACGAACTGGAAAATCTAAGAAGAATGATACAGGGAGCATGTGGATCAAAACTTTAGGAATACGAAGAAGTTACAGTAAAGCGGCTACAGAGAAAAAAAGATAAATGTTTATAATCGTTAAGCCAGAAGTGCAACAGGAAAGTAAAACCACTATAAAGCTAAAAGAAAAGGTGGATATTAAGAGTACGGCTATAGGAGTAACAAACTTGAGAAGAGGAAGCAATGGTACAGTAATCATGGGATGTGAAACTGGAGAGGAAGTAAACAACTTCCTTAAAGGAGACAATTTAAGCTAAACTAGAAGGCAATTATAAAGTAATATGGAATCATCACATTTGGTCAAAACCAAAATTAAAAATTACTAATATAGATATAGAAAAGATAAATTTAGCTGATAATAAACTTATATTTTCAATAAAGAAGCAGAACAAAATGAATGCAGTAAATATGCGAATAGTGAAGAAAATAGTTAAAGAAAAAAGAAACAGTCAGACAAAAAAAAAGAAAATGAAGAAGGATCATTAATATTAGAAACAGATGATGAAACGCACAAGATGGTTTTGAAGAAAACAAAGCTAAATATAGGATAGAGAAAATGTCTTGTATTTAATAATTTTAATGTTAAAAGATGTTTCAAGTGTTGGGGTACTACCATATCGCAAAGAATTGTACAAGAGATGAGACATGTCACAAATGTGCAGGAAATCACAGTTTGATTGATTGCACAGCGACAAAGAAGAAGTGTGTGAACTGTATGTTTAAAAAATCAAACATACAACTTAAATATGTAAACAGTGATAAACACAATAGTCTCAACAACGGTTCATATACTCCTTTCAAAAACAAAATTACATAACAAAGAACAAATCAAAGTCAACGTAAATCCTAAAAATTTCACAGGTATACTTTCGTCCACAACATTTTTCAATTTCAAAAAAATGGTTTGTCAATTAGACAAACCAAACAATACCAGATGATGTAATTAGCATTTTAGAATTAGGAAGCAATTTCAGTCTCCCACAAAATAAAAAATGTTTTTTGCTTGAGTGCATTAAGGATATAAAAAATTGTATCAATAAAGAGAATAAAAAGATCGCAGATAACATTAGTTCTAAGTGGGTGATACTCTATTGACCACAGTACGATTCGACACCGCTCGATTCGACACAGATTTATTCGACACGAAATTATTCGACACAAAATTATTCGACACCGTACGATTTGACACCAGATTATTCGACACCGTACGATTCGACACCA